TAACACGCCTCTTTCGACCCGATTTACCGACCCTAAAGGTTACACGAGAGATCCGACCGATTAGCGACTGACTCGCCATTTTACGATTACAACGTATAACTTGATTTTCAAGGTAAAACCCTCAATTAGTTAAATTTGACAAATACACCGTAATGCTTAGAAAACAATAAGAAAAGGTGCATTTATAGAGGTCATATGAGTGCCGCCGAGGGAAATCTAGAGCTGAACATTGCAGTTTATTATTCGGCGAACTTAGCCCTTGAAAAATCATTAATGACTTATCAGTTATGACAGTTGTCTGGTCTTTTTGGTATCATGCGTATTGATTATATAGTTAATCGTCATACTGACATTTTATTAATACTAGAAGACTCATGAATCACTGATGATTTTTCATGGTTAGGTTCGCCGAATAATAAAATATAATTTTCGGATCGGGGTTTCCCTTGGCGGCACTCATACTGTCAACTCTCTCTAAGTGCAACTCTTAAAAATTTTTCTCTAAATGCAAGAGCTTTTTTGGCACCAAATAAATAAACAATATAATATTTTATTTTATAAATGCAACTTCTCTTTAATTTTTTTTTTTATATTAAAATTTATAGGCCCGGCGAGTTACACTTAGAGAGAGTTGACTGTATATACATATTTGAGCTAAAATTTGAGTGTGTATTTAAAGAGGGTATGCATTATGGAGGTTTTATAAAAGATCATATAACGGGGTTTTAAAAAATTTTATTAACCCAAAATACTGTTATATCTACAGTGGATTGTAAAAAAAATGGTTACAATAAATATAGTACTATTAAGAATGTTTATTCGTTGTTAGATATTTGGAAAAAGCTAGTTACATATTAAAACCATAGATAATTCAATTAATACATTATTGGACAGAGAGTAATACAAAATCCAAAATATTATTTTGTTTCTAAAAATTATATTAACTTTAGATTAAATATATATGAAAAAATTAATAAATATGCTTTAAAATAGTGATTATTTTTTTTATCAAGTTCTATGTAGTTTTTAATAAATATAATAATTAGATTACACTACGATTAATAACCTTTATAGTTACAATACAAGAAGCAACAAGAAATATTAAGAAAATAACACCACCAATGGTTGCACCAATAATTAAGCCAAGGTTTTTGAAGTCAGAAACAACTGTATTTGTACTACTTGATATTGTGTTTGCTGGGTTTATATTACTTGTTGGATTTGCATTATTTGAAATTGTAGTATTTGGAGTAAATTCAGTAATCCATTTGTAGTAATCTTTTCTGCTTACATCTAGAATAAATATTCTTGATGAAGAGGTCAAATTTGCAAACATACCTATTGGGCAAATGAAGATTATGCAAATTTTAAAGAAGTTATAAATAAAATAATTAGAAAATATATTTTTATAAAAAATTTACCAAAAGCAATAATCATATAATTGTCCACTAATGTCGCAGTATGCCCATAAAGAATTAGGTCAGTAATTGGATTTGAAATGATTCCAGCTGACCATTGAGAAATTGTAGTATCTAAGATCCACAGATCCGGAGTATTTTTCACACCACCAAAAATTATAATACGTCTATCTGAAGCTTTCGATTTAAACGATTAATATTATAGAAGAAATGATTATTTACGTTGCTAAATGACATACTTAACACTGCAGAGAAATATCTACGAACAGGAGGAGTCGGACCGGATATACTCTAAAATATATTATTGATTAATACTGTAAAGTAAAAAATTGTATTTAATAATCACGTACCATATTTGTCCACGCATCAGATTTCGTATTATATAATGGTAACTACGAAAGCAACAATGAACCATGGAATAAAGCAAAGATTAAAAGAAATAACATTATAAAAATACGAACACTTACGTTATTCATTGGCATATACACAGATAAATTAGCAGGACTACTTCCTCCAATATATAATATATTATCATTAGGTAAAGTTATTGCGCAATAACCAAACCTAGATAGAGGTGCATTTGTTCCATTGCTTAAGCTCCATGATAATGCTAATGTGTTAAGTATCCAAAGATCATTGGCAATAGTAGAACTAGAACTATAACCACTAAAAATGGCAATCAATCCATTATTAAAATTGGTACATGAAATATCATATCTATTTGTTGGTACATTTACGGTAGATGTAATATTAATCCATAGCTGTTTACTTGAATCAAATTGAATAACAAATGATTGATTATAAGGAAGACCACCTAAAACAAAAATCTGATCATGATTATTTCCACCAATACAAGCTGTATCCTGATATTTCGAAGGGCTGCTGGTAGAAGTAAGGTCAACCCATGGTATTGAGACATCATCAGTTATATTAAATGGTTTAGAAACATCCAAATAAAAGAATTTATTCGAATTGATAGAAGGAAACTCTATTCCACCACTAAAATAGAGTTTCCTATCAACAAGGACTGAGGAATGAAAATATCTTCCAGTCGGTGTGAATATAGCAAATGTAAAAATAATGTTTATGAAAAAAACAAAACCATAAAAACTAAAATACATGATTGTACTTTATCATTTAACCGAATGGCTATATAAGATAACAAGTTAAGTCACTGTATATTTATAATATTTGTATCGCGAGCCATGCTAAATCAATGTCAATATTAACTTGTGCGATTAGATACACGTAAATAAGTTTTCTCGGTTTGATTGGCCAGACCTTGCCCAGCAAAGTCCACTTCTAAAAAAGGAAAAGTGTTTACTTTTAAGGAATTTTTTTCGTCAATCTCAACGTTGTTTGGTGTTGGGTAACACAATCAAGCAAAAAAATAAAAAAATTTGCACCCTTCGTACAATTTTACTACGTACACGAATCTACAGGAGGAACCCTTAATGTTACACCAAGTGAGATTATATCTATTACACTTGAAGTTACATATAAATAATTTCGGTTTAACTGATCACCCCGTGTGAACGACGGGGCGACGGATTATATCCATAACATACATTTTCGAGTAAACATAAAATAAATAATTTTATTATTGATTGACTACATCGTGTGAAGGATTAATGTGTAACATTGACGGTTCCTAAAAAAAGCATTCATGAATTTAATTTAACGGCGCGTCCGTAATCTGTGACAGGTTAAACCACTAATTTCAATCCCCATCTGATTATATTCCCAGAGTAAGACTTGACAGTCATAAACTATTAAAAAAAAATAGCTTATATTAACTAAACAAATATTTATATAAAAAATAAAACTTTTTAAAATTAAAATAACGAATACCACATAAATAATTCACTAGTTTATTATAATTACTTTAAGCAAAGCAAACAATATGTTGTTTCTTTAACCTCGCTATTAGAGGTGCAGGCGAATCGTCCCAATGATGTTACGGCAATCATTGGGACGATTCGCCTGCATCTCTACTCTCTATTGTTCAACACATTCTTCCTTAAAAGATACTTTTTTTATTTAATTCTACCTCTTTCGAATGAAAAAACTCAGAGCTGAATTCTCCTTTCTTCCATATCATTTATTCGTGAACTCATATTTTCGCAGCACTTGTGATCGAACAGTCGCGACTAAAATCATAAAAACAAATATTCGAGGGGATTTTATTTTTATTACATTACACTGATCTTTAAATTTATCTAACATGGTTCGTAATGTTGGCCTAGTATTTTGACAATTTGAATTAATAACAAAAATGAAGTGATACCGGAAATATCGTTCTCATCCATTTCTTAATTCCGTTTATAAGTTTTTTTTTTTAAAAAAAAGATATATCAAAATTTGTATAACCTGCACTTTATAAAAAAATTGGTTCACTTTTACAGTAAGTCTTATTAGAAGTCTACAGGTTATTTAAACTATTAATTTGCACTTTACTCATGTTAGATAAAAAATATATATATAATTTATAAAATTGCAAAAAAAATAAAGAATAACCAAATACGATCAAATGTTTTTTATATTCAACTTTAACTTCGTATGATAAGCCGATCACTTTATTCAACAAAATTCAGTCTCGTTGACTAATCAAAAAGAAATTTATTGACTAAAGTCAAAGATCAATCTACGTTACTCCAAGTTCCAAAATGATTCGAACGTTGGCTTTTATTACCTGTATTTGTATATGCAATCATTATTACTCAACTAGACTGACTCAGTTGTTCCAACTATTCGGATCCGCACTCATTGAACGGCTTATGTTTATGGTAAATCAAAATTGTTTAATAAAGCTTATTAAATCTCTTCCTTACTAAAGGATTTAAACATAATTATTGGTCATCTTATTAGGCATGATACGTCAACTTAATAAATTTGAATTAAAACGTAATTATACAACATTTTGCATAATAATTTGCAATTAAATGGATATATTTAATATTTGAAAATTTGTAAAACATATTTATATGTATATATAAATTAATTTTGATTATCTATTATTTTAAAAAGCTCAAGGTTGATTAATTTTTTTAAAATCAAAAAATTAACCTTTTTGATATATTTATAAATTAATTAATTACAATTAAGTATTTTTTGTGTTACTACATATGTATTTTGGTGTAACTATAATGTATAATATTGCAAAATTTAACTATAGTTATTGTATAGAAAAAAGGTATATTAAAAAGAGAATTACCTATTTAAATTAAATTATACAAATTAATTAATTGGTTTTCATAACCTGGTTAAGTCAAATTTTAAAAGTTTATAATAATTTTTTTATATGTTTAATAATTAAGTAGGTTTTTAAAAAATTTTTACAAAAATTTTATAAATTTATATATGAAAATTTAAAAAAACTAAATTGATTGAGTTTGATCAAAAATTTCATATTTTAAAAATTAAGATATTAAATTTATATAATCTTAGTTTATTATATAAAAAATTAGTAACTTTTTTTTTTTTTTTTTTGTTAAACTAGCTTCTTTTGGAGCTGAGGTTTTTTATTCAGTATAGTCAGGATATAGGGACTCATAGCCAAGGCCTCAAAGGAGTCACCTTACATTAAAGAGTACAACTAGTCACACATACACTTTTGATGTCTAATTAAGTAGTCCATTGATGGTTCTACACTAGCTACCATATCTGCAACCCAACTAGGGGTGTTGCCTATTTAAACATTCTGTATTGCAACCCTTACTGTATTACTAAATCATCTCTGCTACTTAAATCAGTCAAGAAGGTCTAGATGCTTACTCATATTCTTAGAACCCCATACCTTATTTCATGCAGTGTATCCTCAGAAGTATCATTACTAGAGCCTTCTGTGTCTCACATACAGCTAACCTAGTTTTATGTAACACATTATAGTTATCTAACACTTGCAATCAGAGCTAACCTTAAACTACTATGTTACACTATTTCTACCCTTGTAAAGTTTACTCAAACCTCAGTACCTATCTTTCTAACATCTTCTCTATCATCCCCTACTAGCTGCAACTCAGAACTATCAGTCTTATTCCAGACTACCAATCCAGATGGCTCAGTATAATATATCTTAGTATCCTTTTCCTCTGGTGAATCCAGCGGCCTGGTTGGTCATGTGCTCCTCTACACATCTTAATATCTGGTTTTAATTTTCAGTTCCTATAAAGGTGTTTTGTAGGCTTTCATCAGTCCGACAGCACTGTCGAAAATTTGTGCTACCTCTTTACTCAGGAATTTCCAAGTGAGATTCTGTCTCCTTAGTTCCTTAGTCTTTTACACTCAGTAGTCTTATTGTGGGTTTGCACTGAAGTCTTATGCAATACCAGTTATTAACATTTCTTTATGTATGTGTAACATTACACTTCATATAGATGCCCCGAGCTTCCAATGTCAGTAGGACCCCAACTTGGTATATCTAAGTTACAGTTGCATGAGGCCAACCAATTGACAGAAGACAGTTTCCGTAACATAGATATAATTTCCAAATTTTATCATAGGTGGGATTTGAACCTTAAACCTGCCACTTGGAAGATGACAATTCAACCACTACACTAGGATCATCATCTTTATTAAAAATTAGTAACTTTATTTAGTAAAATTAATAATACTTATATATAAAAAAGTTAATAATTATAAATTTTTTTAGAATTTAAAAATTTTATAAAAATTTATATATATATATTAATAAACTTCTAAACTTATATTTTATATTTATATTATTTAAAAATATAAAATAAATATGCCTAATTCAATATAATATCTAATTTGGTACATTTACAATATCTTAGAATTTACTAATTGAATTAGATAATTTTAGTATTATTTAATTTATCTTAATAAAACAAATCAAGTAGTACCAAAATTATATAATTACAATTAGTAAATAATAAAATAATATTATTTAATTAATATATAAAATTTTCTTATATAAGCAACTTTTTCTATAGATTAATTATACTAAACTACAAAATAATATTTAATTATTTCTCAACTTTTTACTAAGTAAACCTTACTTTGCCTTTAAGTAAAATTACTTAGCATATTTTTATTTTTCTAGATAACTATGTTTTAAGTTTCAAAAACATCTAATTACTAAGAAAATTTTAAAAAATCAAAATTTTGAGTTTATTCATTTATACAAAATTTTATTAATTAAACCTATCTTCTTACCTATTAAAATGTTGTTCAGCTTATTGAAATGAACATTTTGATATATAATTTATTTAAAACAGACCAAAACTCATAGAAATACAAACAAAAATCAAAAACAAAAACTTATTCTTTGCAGATTTTTTTATTGACATTTTAGGAAAATTTACAGGATTGTTCTAAAAATTTTATTTTCTGATACTCACTAGAATTTTCTAAATATCCAATTAGCTTATCTGAAGTTCATATGCTTTTTCAAACTTTTCTAACTAGTCTAGAAACCTCTAAATTAAATGAATTTTTTTGTAAAATATATTAAAGACTTATTTTTAGAACAAAATGCTGACCTTGACAACAACTGCACCTAATACCATTGATCTTAATTATTTTTACTAAAAGTGTCCTAAAAGCTTTAGTATTAGTATCCTTGAAAATGCAGTAAACACATCATGCCCAATTCCTGCAAATAAGTAACCAAACAATTATTCAATTACAAAACTTATAAGAAAGACTAAAAGTTGTTGTTGCATTAAAGCATCTGAATCTAGTTTTATCATTACATGCTTCTGTAACAAGTTCCACACTTACTTTATCTCAACTACTAACCAAATCTACAAACAATATAAAATTATCACTATTAACAAAAAATTTAAAAATAAAAAATCTTTAGCAAATAATATTACAAATTTTATCAAATTTATTTTACTATTTTCTACAGTATCACCTTTATCTATTACATACAACCATCAATGTGCTAAATGCAACTTGCTTATTACCTGTAAAGAAATAAATAACTAATATTACTTGGTAGCAAATGCAATCTTATATAATAACAAACCTTATCATAAAACATGTGTAAATATTTAACAACTCTTTTAACAATCAAGTTCTTCTCTTATATTCATTTAAAAACTTCAACAATCAATTTGATTATATAACCTACTAGCATTTGAACTTATCTTTATAACATTACCTGCAGGTAATACTAGCAATCCAAATGCTATAAATTTAGACAATAACACAATTAATAATGACAACCAATAACTATTATATTCTAACAAATCATTATAACAACAACAACAATTTGATAAATAATAACAACAATAACAATAACAAACACAAGCTAATACTAATAACAACTAACAAAAAGCCAAAGCCAACTTAACATTTGACTGGCTTGCTAACTTTCTTATAACTGAAAAAATGAAAGACAAATCACAATTGCAAACAGATTTCACAAAGAAAATTTTTAATTTTCTTAAACAACACCTATATAACTTTAAACCTGAAACTGAAATTAAACCTAAAATTGGTAATTGTTCAGTTTTTAAAACTAGTTTTTACCATATAATTCATAAAATGACAGAAAAAAGACTCCAATTTCTTGTTGAATTTATTCAAAAAAATAATCTAAATATTGACAAAGCTATAACTATTTTTTTTGATATACTTGGATAAACATTAAAAAAACTAATTCTTATATTCACTACTGTATTCTTTACAAAACACAACTATTCAAAAATATTTGCTTTATCTGCAACTATTTTTTCTTATACAAGTCCAAACTGACTACAATTCTGTATCAACCTTGCATGTCTTCATCTTTATTTTACAAATAACTATCAAGTTATTGACTATATTAAATTTACTGAAGATATTTAACTTCAACCTAAAAGATTTAAAATTTTATTTGAAGTAGTTAATTTTAATAAAAAAAACAATACCTTATAATTAGCTCTAATTGCAAATTTAATATATATCTTAAATTCAATATTCCCAAAACACTTTTTTTACAAAAACTTAATATTTCATCTTTTAAAAACTCACCTGACTACTTTAAATAGTGGTTTAAACAATTTTTTCTATTATACAATTAGCAATTTACTAAACCTATAGATAAAACTAAAGTTTTTAATATACTCAAATATCAATTCTAACAAAAATATATTTTTTATCTTAAAAAAATCATGTTTACCAAACTAAGCTTTACAAAACCTAACAATCTATAGGAACATTGTGATAAAGCAATCAAACATACTAATCATTACATCCTTTCTTGTACAAATACTACTTGCATTTAATTAGATGAAGCAGTACAAACAAAAAAAAAAGAAGTTAAATCTAACATTCCTAAAGAACAATCCCAATACTATAACCATTTTTTTTAATATCTTAAGTATTTTCTAAAAATCCTATATTGATTTCTCAAACAAGATAATAAAATCTGGTAATAACCCAAACTCGACTTCTTTTTATTTATAAAAATAGCAAATATAAAGCATCCTTTGATAAACAAATTCCAACTTTATTACTTGACAAACTTGCAAGTAATGCAGAAAACTCTGCTTGCAAAGCTAGTAATATTTCAACTAACTCCAAATGTCACAACTATTATTTCTATTTATATTTAAATCTTTATCAAAATGTTGCAGCCCAAAATTACAATATAGATAAACTTAACAAACAATAAGCAATTAACTTTCTTATATCTAAACCTATCAGCACTAAATTTCTTGCAAGAATTTTAACTTTCTGTTACTTCAGTAATAACAGGCAAGAGACTTGTCTCCCATGATGATATTCATATTTATTAATTTTAGTGTAATATATAATACTGTGACTTAGTAGTAAAATTACTTTAATAAATATTTAACTAATAATATTTTAACCTTAGATAACTTTTCTTTTTCAAGTTAAATGCTTTAATTCTATACTAAAATTTTACTTGTTAATTGAACTTATACCAGTTAAAATCAGACTTAAAAATGTTTATTTTTTAATATAAATTTCAAGATCCTTTTCTAATTAGCTTAAGTTTTAACAAAATTCACTTGCTAAAAAGTAAGGAATAGGAAATACTTCAAGCAAACTTAATAACAAAAAAGTATTTGACTTGTAGTTTTCTAGTGCTTAATTAGTAGTAATCATCTAATAAGATAAGATAAAAGTTTAAATTTACTTTTCACTTTATTTTTTATAACAAAAAAGAGTTTTTATTACTAATAAATGTTATTAAAAAACAGAAAAATACTCATATACTAAGAGGCAATACCAAATTTACTAACAATATATAAATAGAACCCAATAATATATATGATATGCAACAAAATTATAAAAAATGCAAAATATAGCTATCTAATTCTATCTTAAATTATTAATAAAAGGTGTTGGTAAGATAATTTTTTATATATATGCTCCACTTAAATATATTACTCTAATCTTTTTTTCGATTATTTCTCCAATATTGCTTAATTCTCTTGTATATCCATTCTGAAGAAATTTTACTAAGTTCATTAAATACCATTATAAGTAGATAAATTAGTAGTAATTTTTATATTCAAGTAATGGACCAAGTATTTCTTTTTTTGCTTTTGTAGTTTTTTTTTGGCAAGCTTGTGCTTTATAAGTTTCCACATTTGAAACTTGTATTGGGAATAAAAATTCAGATTCAAATAATTCAGAATATGTAATATCTTCTTGAATAATTATTTTTTTAGTTTTTTTCCTCTCTTGTTTATTACTTTTTTTAAGTTCAGCATATGTATAATGGTTTATATCTTGAGCACCATGTCCAAAAGTTACATAGAACTTTGTTCTACGCATATTTTGTCTAAGTATTGCTTCAAGATGTGATTTTCCAGACTTATAACAGACAAGAATTAGTTTAACACCTTTCTTATTGGCTTTTGGCACATTTTTAAATAAATTATGCATTGCTAAATTTTTATTTTTAAATGAGTATGTTAGTTTTACTACTAGTGACCAAAGAGAGTCTTTAGAGATTAAATAAAATGAGTACTTTGATTTACTACTACATCATTGCTATATTCCGCAATAAGCATTGACAAATGTTTTCTTTTACTTTAAGCTGCTTTAATTTTTAACATTATAGTTTCTTCATTCATAAGGTTTCCAAAAATATTTTGCTTGATGAATTTTACATCATATGTTTCAAGTGTTTTATTAAAACCAAGATAGTAATCTTCACACGTGTGATTTACTGAGCATACTATCTCCAACAGTTTTCGTAGCTGCGAATCATTATGAACTTGTGCCAAAAAATGCACAGTAGAGCTTGCATATTTTGATTTGCCAACTGCAGGAAAAAGAGATGCAAAGGCAGCTAAATTGGCCATTTGCATTTTGCAGTTTCCCTTTCTGATTTCGATTTTATGCCCAATGAAGTATTCAGTCTAGCAAAAAAAGAGGTACTATATTTTTATTAAATTATTATTTCCTTTTAAGATATCATACATCAAATTCTCTTGATCTTTGACACACTGGCTTAAAGCAATTTCTGCTGCAATTCAGATCATTTCCAAAACTCAACATGTTGCTTGGTAATCGATTACATGTTCAAATTTATCTAAGTATCATATATTAAGAGTAGCTGCAAGATTAAATATCTCATATCTAGAAAATATTGTAATCAATATGTTACACATATTCTTGGATATGTGCCATTGCCCTAAAATAAGGTGAATATCTTAATATTTTTTATTGTAAGAAATCAGTCTTTCAAAAATCGCTTGATCACATGCAGTATAAAGTCGATTACTCTCACAAATAGACAAATCTTTGTGGTACATTTCACATGAAGCATGGAAATTATTGTTACAATTTGGTGGGTTACCAGTTTCTAATATTACAACATTTACTGGAATATTAGAACCTAAAGGTATTTTTTTTGTAATTTCTAAATGTATGTCTTCTATTTCAAACTCATTTTTATTTTTTTCTATTATTGTATTAAAGACAGTTTTATATTGTGTTAGAAGGTTATCAGTAGTTGTTGATTTTCCAAATGTTGATTAATCAGCAAGTTTATTGTTAGTAATATCAGTTAAATTATTAAGTATTGTAGGAAGAATAAATTAAAAAACCATTCGCAATGTTGCATGAAAGGTCTTACATCCTACATTAAAAATATTACCTGCTGCAAAGGTGAATGCTTTAAAATTGATGTTATCAATAACCACCAAATTCCAAATGTTTTGCCCTTTAATTAGTCTTTCTATAGGGTTTGCTTCAAACATTCATAATTTTGTAAGCTGATTTTTATGGCGCTTTGTATAAGATACAATGTTCATTAAATAGAAAATTTTACATAGTATTAGTAATAATTTTGGGTTCTAACTAATGATGATATAACATGTGTAAGCCAGATTTTCATTTTAAAGAATGCCATTGTCAACAATATAGAAGTAAATAAGATAGAAACTTTTGTTATATAATTTGTATCAAGCAATTTTAAGGGAAGCCCATATTGATTCCTTTTCTTGTTAACAACTAATTGCTTTTTTTGATGGATTGTTAATATTAGAGATTGAAAGAAGTTACAAATACATCTGGCACTGCATTGAAATACTCTTTATATGATTCTGGATTTTCTAACTAATTTTTTTTTTGTCGAATTTCAGGATATAAAGATAAAATCTTTTTTTTCATTTTTTTACCTATATCTGTCACTTTTTCTGATATGATATTATATGATTTTTCTTTCAATTTACTAAGATCAATCTTCACTATTTTTAATGTCATTTTAACAAAAAAACTACTAGGAGGATCTACTTCTATTTTTTTTATTTTTTTTTGTTATTTGCAGATTGAGTAGGTTTCAATAGTAACAATATTTGTTCTTTTAATAATTTTTCTAGTAATTTACTAGGATCAATTTCTGTCATTTTCAGACTGGTTTTAACAAAAAGGCTATTAGGAAGTTCTTCTTTAACTTTTTTATTATCTTTTTTATTGTTATTCAAAGATTGAAGAGTTGGCATCAATAGTAATAGAAGTTTTTCTTTAAATTTTTGATTACAGGATTCTCCTACTGACATTATCTATCTTCCAATGGGCATTTTTACCAGCACAAGTGAAATGCCTGGAATTGTATGCGATAATAGATGCAGCAAATCGAAATCGTTAGGAGTGATATTAGCCAGAGTGTTGCTTGTGTCATCTTGGTATTTCCCAAGTTCAGTACACAGTACAAATCTTTATCTTTTCCTGTTGTTCATACAAATGTCTGCTCTGCTTTTGAAAACATTCTGTGCATATATAACATGCATGATATCCTGATGATGATTTATGTGCAACAAATCTCTCAGTAAATGCTGAATATTTAAAATGCCAATGCAAGGTATTTGAATATTGCTTTTATTAATTTTAAATGAATGCTCTTTAAAGCAACCTTTACAACTAAAAAAACATTTTTTTTTCAGCAAAAAATACAAAAATAGAAACAGAAATTGCTTTCTTTAATCAGATTTTGTTGTTTTACATCACTACTGTGTAGTTTATTCTGATTTAAGATTATATGTAAAAAGCATATCCCAATTTGGTGAAAGCTATTACATTGGCTGTATCGGCATCTATCTTTCAGGTTCTTGTCAATTGCTATAATTGTTATAATTTTATTTTACTATTACAGTGTTTTACTTTGCTATTGATAATACCAATAACAACACATGGTGTTAAACTAGAATCTTGGATGGAAGCATGTTTAGATTTAACATTTATATTATTATTATCATTTTTGTCATTGATACTTTCATCATTATCATCAATATTTTCATTATATTCACCAATATTTTCATTACTATCTTTAGAATTATCATTTTCTTCAAAGTCATAATCTTCATAATTATTTTCATTATTATCAAGTAGGAGCCAAGCATTTTCAAGAGTATCATTAACTTTATCAGCAATGAAATTATCTTGACTGCTTTCTTTAGAAGAACTGTATTCAAAGTCACTGTAAATAGATTCAGAATCACACATTTTGCCTATCATATTTTTGTCATGAACAATACTACCATTTAGATTAAATTTATTTGATAATGGATGAGAATTGGACAATTATAACTATTATAAATCATGAAGAATATTTATTTTGAGGATTGGAAGATAGAAGACTAAATATAATAAACTCAGACAGCCCCAAAAGGTATAAATAATTTTATTATTATTAATTATGTTTATTACTTTATATATTAGAACACTTGAGTACTTTATTACTAAGGTTGTTTTTACTTAAAGATACAAAAGAATTTTTAGCTTCTATTTATAATAAAAAAAAACCAGAAAAATCATTACTAAATTTGGTTCATAAATTTATTTGCAGAATTTTTTTATACCTTTCTTAGACAGACTTTCTTTGTCTGATGAATGGCCTTTTAATGGAACTCTATTTAAAATTGCTTTAAGATTTTACAGTTTCACTAGGTCTTATCAAAATTCTAACACACAAAATTCTAACATCAAAAATTCTAACACTGCCAATATCCTAACAGTAACAGTAGTACTGTTAAGTTTTTGGTAGTGTTGGGATTTTAATGTTAGGATTTTGTTTCTAATATAGGACATTTCACTAATATGCAACAATATGATGTATTTTTGAGGTTTCACTAGGTCTTATCAAAATCCTGACATACAAAATCTCAACATCAAAATCTTGATATCAAAATCCTGACACTGCCAATATTCTAACAGTAATAGTCTGTTAAGATTTTGGTAGTGTCAGAATTTTAATGTCGAGATTTTGTATATTGGAATTTTGTTTTTGATATAGAACATTCTACTAATATGCAACAAGTAGATCACAATTCTATTTGTCACAAGACTGTGACCTGGACTCATGAGGGTAAGTATGATGTATTTTTGATAGTATTGATCTGATTGTTTAAGTGATTTGTAAGTATAAGCATTTTGTAAGAATGATGGGAAATATTGATTTGACTAATTAAGTATAAGGTTATAGTAAACAGCTATTTTAAAAGAAAAGAGGAAAGGGGTGTGGTGACCTAGTGAAGTGGTCAGGTTGTTAACCCTTCAAGTGGTAGCTTGGGTGTTCAAATCCCATCGACAGTGAAAATTTGAATAATCACTTATGTAATATTTGTATTATGGCAACTGTTACTAATGATTGGGTTAGAATACCTGTAATGGCGGTCACACTAGTATAACTGGTAGGTCATGGGGCATTCGTGTAACAGGGCACATGACATTGTCTCTTGGTACAAGGTTGTGGTTACACAGAGGAATGTAAACTGGCAATAGGTGGTGCAAACACTAGATAAGTCCTTGTGGCTGTGTAAATCTATTGAAATTGGGTAACAAGAAGTTCATTTGGGAAGATCTGAGTAAAGAGGTAGCCAGATCTTTGATGGCCCTACTGTAAAGACTAGCCTTATGAAATGAATACCAAGGTCGAAGTAACTGGATGGGCAAAAACCTCTAGGTGAAGGGTACCACCAACCAGGCTGCCAGATTGAGCCAGAAAAAAAGGATATTGGGCCGACCTAATATACCAATAGACTGGTCATAAGTCCTACTGGGCTATCTGGATTGGGAGTTTGGTAAATCGGCAGGGGTATACTAAAGTATTTCAGATATACTGTAAAGTATATGCTGGGGTTTGTGTGAACTCTACAAGGGCATAGCAGTTTAATGATCAGCTCTGACCACAAGTGTTGGTTCTGCCATAGTAATATCTAGATTAGCTGTAAAAATGAGTACAGAAGGCTCTGGGGGGTTTACCTCGAGGATAAATTAGTTCTAAGGTTGATGATGATGATCTGGTACATTTAAGATGACCAGTGATGTTAACACAGGTTACAGGTTCAGAAGGTTTAAAGTGGAACACCCAAGCAGGGATGTTAGGTATAGCAATTGGTAGGGAACCTTCGGGCAGACTCCTTAAATAGGTAATATAGAAAAGTTATATGTGTAGCCAATTGTAGACTCTCCTGTAGTGGTTCATTGAATTACAATACTGATAAGTGATTAATAAAAGTCAAAAGACCAAAGAGATCACCTTAATACCAAAAAAAAAAAGAGAAAAAATTGTTTTTTTTCTTTTGTCTTTACTGCTAGGTCTATTTTTGTCATTTGTTTCCACCTACTCATTACTAGTTAAGAGTTTTTTAGAAGTTGTGGATGTAGTTGAGAGCCCAAGTGAACAGCCTAAATATTAAGAATAATGTTTTAATAGTCTAATCGAACAGCCCAGATGTTAAGAAAGAAGTAGTAAATAGGACACAATACTAGGAACTGGCTGTGAACCATGTGAACAATGAGGTGGAATTACATATTGTATATTTTACAGTTATGTTTGTTTGTTGTATATAAGATTAAATAACATATTTATTTAATCATTATTTTTGCTTTGTTGTATCTAAAAGATCATACTAATTTACTTTGTTAAAAAATCTGAACTAAGTAGATATATGTTTTAAATGTAGATGTTAAATTACCAATTTCAGCAGAGATCACTCTTGTTATTTCTAATATGTCCAACTGTTCAACTTTATCAAGCATCCTAAGATTAATGTTATTCTACCATTCACAGCAGTCTTGCTAGCAACAACTTTGGGTTTTTCATTTTTTAAGATCTTAGGTTGTACACTCCTAAGCACAATTAATAATTCTGGCTATTCATTTACAACAACTACATTGAAATCTTTTATTAGTTATCTAATATTCCAACTTTGCACTTTCATCAGAATTACCTGTCTTGGCTAAACTTGTATCTGTATTAGTACCTCATACTCATTCTTTTCAATACTATTCTCTTGATAACTATGATTAAAATTATATATTCTCCCTGCATTTCAACATTGTTAATTTTTGACAATAAATAAATATATCATATAATAAGGTATGTTTTCAGCTTTTAATTTTGCCATCACATTTGATTTATCATTATCTCTCTTAAGAATTTGGTATTATGATGGATAAGTTAAATTTTTGTTGCATCAGTAATAAGAACAATGCTAAAATCTATATGTAATACAATGTGCTCTTCTGTTTAATTCAGAAAAGATCCATATGAATATTTTGTTCATTAAAATGAGTATATTGTATATTTAATTCGATTTCATTCTTATATTGAAATTTATTAAAATGGACTATACTGATTCTCAACTCTTATTCGATATGTTTTAAATTCTGCATCAAACAAAAGTATCTGTAGTATTAATGATTAAAATGAGTATTTTATTAAAAATAGTTGGTTTCTTGCATTAATGTAGTTGTATGCTTTACTTTTAATTGATTATTTACTTAAGTTAATGAGTAATTCAATTTTTTCTGTCATTTGGTAAGTTTACTAGGCAATTTTTTTTTAGATAATTTTAACCAATATTAATTATTTATTTAATCTGTAAGCTGTTCTCTATTTTTGTCTGTCATATTATAAGTTTCTCCTAGATATCTTTAATACATGTATGCTGATTATATTTATTTATTTATTATTTATTTTTTGGCAAAATTAGTACTTAATTTCAGTGCACTATTTTAGATCTAAACTGAAGGTTGAAATTTCGATGCTAGCAATAGTATGGTAATTTCAAATGAAAAGTTTATTAAATTTAGCTTTTCACAATTCGATCATTCAGATTAATAACTTTATTGGATCAGGTTTTTTATATCTATATATATAGTCTAGGCAAATGACTTACTATGTATCAAATGTTTCAAAATTATAATACATTTCTGTATTTATGATTATTTATTTATTATAAATAAAGGATTTTATTAAATATTGAATAGTTTATATAATGAAAATGATTTTTATTAATATTGATAATAAAATAATATTTGGATTAAGTTTTGAATAAGTATAATAGATATTATTTAATCTATTAAAAGGGATTCACTCGATTACACTTTCATATTTTAGTATTTTGTAGGTTTAAATTGAAATCTTTTAAGGCAACTATAAATAATAGTTTTTACTTGTACATTATTAAGTTTTCTAAGAATCACATGCTTGGCACCAGATGTTAGCCTATATATTTTAAATTAGTTATTTTCTATTTAATTAAACCTAGATAAATAAGTAAATGCCTAATAATTTATAAAAACAAAATAAATATGAAGTCTTTGCCTTAAAAATGACCTTATGGTATCATATATCATAAGGTCATTTTCAAGGCAAAGATCCTATATAGAATTTATCTTACTTCTTCCAACAAACCTATAAAAATTCTGAGATTTATATTTTAAAGATCAATTATATATTGAAAAGCATGTAATAGTGCTTATTTATTGCATTCATCAGAAATTATTCATATGTTATTTAACCAGGTTGCTGATTATTTTTTTGAATATTATTTAATCTAATAAAAGGAATCTATTCAATCACATTTTTATATTATGTGGATGTAGATTAAAATTCTTTAATGAAATTATCAATAGTCTTATTTCCATTTATTCATCCTTAAGCTATTCTCTGAGGATCACATGTCTGGCACTATGCTTTAGGTGTTTATCTCGATTGCACCTTTTCCAATCTCATAACTTCTTTTGAATGAAAATTTAAATACTAACATGCCCATTAGCAGCTGTGTTTAAGTTAGCCTATGTACAGTAAAACCTCTTTAAATACACTTTCTATGCATACAGATTCTAGCCCAAGTATATGCATAACCTCTATAAATGCACTTTTTCTTATTGTTCTCTAAGTGCAAGTCATCAAGTTTTGGTCCCAAGTGCATGCATTTAGAGAGATTCTATATACTTTTTTGTTATCCTATTTGAAGTCAGTATGTGGTGTTAGTACATTTACCACTAGCACTAATGCCATTGCTTTTATTGTTATTCTTACCAATGTCATTTTCGCTATCAATTTGTCAGTGTTTTCATGTTTTTGTTCTACTTTTTTTGTTAGTTTGGCTTTGAAACTTATATGCTAGGTTATACTCATCATATACTAGAAAGTAAATTATTAGCAAATATTTATAAATAAACTAGCAGGCTGGCAGTAATTTGATGATTGA